CAAAAATTGTCCAATGAGTTATTTAACATGTTTTAAATTGTCCAAAGACTTATTTGTTCCAAAAAATTGTCCAAAGAGTTATTTAACATGTTTTGGAATGTCCAAAAACTTATTTGTTCCAAAAAATTGTCCAAAAACTTAATTATTCCAAACACTAAAGTCCATTTGGTTTTTTTAGACTTTTCCCATTTTAGTATTAACAAACCCAACCTTTTTAACTTATTGACTATGACTCAAATATATCCATAAGTCTAGCATCTAACATAATCAAAATCGACGCCTAAAACCTTTAACCATTAAACATATTGACACATTTGATATTGACGGTATCCAAATTTTAAAATCCCTCAAGAACTCCATCAATCTATCGATATTTCTAATCCATGGTTTGATTTCGGCGCACATCATCAAGACATCAACCAAGTGATTCTACCAACTTAGATTTGGCTTCCATTTTCTTTGGTCAAGAACTCAAGACTCAAGAATTGAACAATTGAAGATTTTGAATTCGCGGATTTTGTTACTCAATATTCACAGTGAAGTTGTAACTTTGTTAATCTGTTTGTTTTCTAATATGTTATATATTTATTTGTTTGTACTTTGGATTACTTCGACTTTGTACTCAAGATCTGCTTAGTTATTACATTTATTTGTGTAGATATTTTGTTTTGTTAAAATGGATATTTAATCTAAATTCTAAATTATATATGTTTTGTTAAAATGAATATTTAGATATTAAGTTTAACATTTAAAGTCTATTAAATGTCCAAATCGCCTAAACCGGTCAGACCAGACCGTTTTTTCATGATCTGATTTGACCGGTCTAGGCACTTGATATCAAATCGTTCGGTTTAAAATTTTTATAAACTGTCATTATAATTTAATTTGTAATCTAAAGGGTTAAACCGTTAAAACCAAACCACAAACACCCCTATTATTTAGTAAACGGCCCCTAAATTGGTTAAGCCAAGAAAGTACGAGAATAAATTGGATAACTCTTTTTCCTTTTTGTGGTTTGTTTTTTTATAACTACTCATATTTTTCATATTTTTTATTTGTGTTTTGGACGGCGTCGTTTTCACTACACATTCTTGATATTGGAATACTACTTATATCCCTCCCCCCTTATGTTTATGAAGTTGTCAAAGATCATCCCTGAGGTTTGGAAATTGTAATTAACTCCTATTTTTATTTTTTTCCATATATTAGGATTGTTTTTTGTTAAAAATTAATCATTATTTTGTGGAGATAAATTTTTTTAACAATTTATGACCCGATACGACTTCGATTTTGCATTAATGATAGTTTTCATTCTTCAATAGATTTAAGATGTCAGCTTCCACTATTTCTATCAGATTCACTTTTTGATATGTATAGTTGACGATTCGTAGGCTTAAGTCGTTTCGAATCATTCTTCAATTTTCTTATATTTGTAGCATTTTTATTACACACGTTTTGTTGTGTTCAAGCTTAATTTTAATTTGTAGGGTGTAATTTGGATGGTTCACCCTTAAATTTCAAATTTAGTAGATTCACTTGTTTGTGCTTGAGACTTATTATAATCATTTTATATTAATAAATGATATCAAATATATCTCATAGACTTAGGATCATGTAAGACCAATGATTTTTCGTGAGACTCGTGAGACCAATTATCAACCCTTGGATTAGATCTATAATTTGACAATTTAAACATTTATAAACATCACGAGATTTCTCAATAATCACAAAATTGCCACCGTATAATTTAGACTGTTAGATCATTAACTTATAAAGTTGATCAATGAACATAAATTGGTCTTACGGGTCTCACGAAAAACCTTTGGTCTCACGTGAACCCAACCCATATGTACATTAGGGTTGGGTTCCGATGAGAAGTAGAGTAGTAAGAAATGTAAGAAGGGACTTCCACGCTTAGATGTACATTAGGATGAGATGCACCGACATGAGATGCATCAGACCAATCCTCGTATCAAGCGCGATTCATGGGTGAGTTTGAGATTAAAGGTAATCAAGGGTCTAAATCCCTTCTTACGCTTCTCCCATTAACTTTCTTTCTCACACGATCTTTCGCTTATATATATATATATATATATATATATATATATATAGGGGTCTAATCAAATGAGAATTGCGTAGTTTGTGGTAACCATGAGATCCAACATGGGCCAATCATTTAAAATAATTAATATTATTTTTTAAAATAAAGTAGAAGGGTAAATTAGTAATTTGTGTTGAGTATTCAAGTCACTTTAATTAGTTTAATGTTCTAATTTTACATTTAAGTCGCTGTATTTCTATATCTTACAAATATATTTGATTTCTTCCTTCTCCCTCTACTCCGGTACTGACCTCCATTTTATCTGGTCCCTTCCTTCTACCTTAACTCCGGCCACCACAACATCCCCTCAAAGTTCATCATATGTCCTCCCTAAGGGTGCGTTTGGTATGCAGACTACATGGGACGGGATGGGACAAAAAAAATAGTCCCATGTTTGGCATGCCATGGACAAAAATTACATGGGACAAGATGGGATTAATTTTAAATTTGATGGGACAAAACTTGATGATTTTTGTTCCATCAAAAAAGGTGGAACAACATAGGACTAAATACAAATTTACTATCTTACCCTTGTTCCAATAGATTCCAATAGATTAAAATAGAAAACCTAATTACTAACCCTCCTTCATCATCATCTCTTTTCTCGCCCGTTCCACGAGAGCTCCTTCCACATCGCCTCCTTCCACATCGGCTTCTTCCACCGGCTTCTTCCACATCGGTATGATTTCTCCCTCTCGTTTCTTTGCTGCGTACGATTTCTCTTTGCTGCGTCGATTTCTTTTTTGCGATTCTTTGGTGCGTCGATTTCTATTTTGCGATTATTTGCTGCGTACGATTCCACATCGTTCMTTCTCTTGGATTCTTGACTGTAAACTCTAACAAAATCCCCTCACTAAAAGCT